AGCGATGGCGAGGGCGAGCAAGATCCATGCTGCGACGTCGTTGAAGGCGGCGGCTGCCATGGCGGTTTGACCCACGTGGGTGGTCAACAACTTGAGCTCGGCTAAGATACGAGCGAGAACAGGGAAGGCGGTGATGGAGAGAGCAACACCCATGAAGACGACGAACTGAGCAAAGCCGACTTTGTCGGCGCCATCGATGACTTTTCTGAGGACGAAAGCAACGCCGATGCCGCAGACGAAAGGGAGAGAGATTCCGGCAAGTGCTATACCGAAAGCGCGCTTGCCGCTCTGGCGAATGGAGGATAAGTCAAGCTCCAGTCCGACGAGGAAAAGAAAGAAGAGAAGACCGATTGCCGCCACTGATTCCAGAATCGGAGTGCTCCATGAAGGGAATATTCTGTGTAAGTAGTCTTCATTTCGACCCAAAGCCGAAGGACCCAGCAAGATTCCACCCTGAAAATTAACAAAATTATTCTATTAAATAATATAACGATAGCGTAACGCATGAGAAGTAAAAGTTAATGATACAAGTGATACTAAACAATAATAGATAGGTGTAAATATGAGAGAGGGAGAGAGATACGTACAACAATCTCAGCGATGACTTTGGGTTGGCGGAGGGGTTTGAGGAGGAAAGCAAGGAAGCGGCTAACGGCGATGATCAAAATGGTTTGAAGAATGAGGAGAGGGAGAGCAAAATCTAGGGGATTGTCGCCTTGCCAGGCTCCATCCGACGTCGTTTTAATGGATGTTTTGTTCCCCGTCGTCATGATTGTGTTGTGTGTAATTGTATCTTCTAATCTCATGTATTTATACTTAATTAGAATCGCAGTGGGAGGAAGAGGGTGTATTATTCAACTCAAAATTATAAATGTCAAATATACAACATATCGATATATACATATATATGTATATATATATTTGCCTCATCTGTGAAGATTTGCACTGCACTCTCGCAGTCAAGATTGGTGACGTTGCCACCCACAACCCCCCATAAATATACTTCTTAATTTTCTTCTTACATAACTTTGTTTGTTCAAATATTGAATTATCACATAAAATAAAGAATAAAGATTATTCTCTATACATATATATATATATATATATATATATATTAGTAATATAAGTTATCTGGTGCACGTTAAAAGACTAAATCAACCGATTCTTGATTGTTTTTGGTTTGATTTTTAGCTCTTAAAAGATTTTTTTTTTAAATTTAATTTCAGTAAGGTTTGAAATACTTCAAATCAAACTAACTAAATAAAGCCAAAATCTAACTATATATAATTAGAAAATAATATCAAATACATAATAAACTACTAAATAGCTAAAAATATGTTCATTTCATGATTTTGATTGGAAATCAAACTAAAAGATTTTTTTATTTAATTTCAGTAAGGTTTGAAATACTTTAAATCAAACTAACTAAATAAAGCCAAAATCTAACTATATATAATTAGAAAATAATATTAAATACATAATAAACTATTAAATAGCTAAAAATATGTTCATTTCATTAATATATTTATAATAAACCATTAACTATACCTATCGTTGATGTACATATAACTTGTTTTTCTTTTGCTAAATTATACAATAAGTTTTTTTTTTTCTTTCAGGTGAAAATGTTACTTTAAGACGAATTATTATGAATATAAGTTAATATTGCACGGTGAAAACTATAAAATTTTCAAAAAGTTAATATGAATAAACTTAGTTTAGTTTACTTTGATTTTTTAAAATAGTTCAATTTGGTTTGAATTTTTTATGAACTAAATTTAAATAGTGATTTGGTTTAAGTATAAAGTATAGAATATAAAAGAAAATAAACTGGGTCATTTATATCCATATCCCTATCCCTGTCTGCAACATATCATAACATATTTTTATATTTTGAGTTGTTACTAATTTTATACTTTAACTCCTTATTTGATGAATTATAATTAAATCTTTATTATAATCTTTCTAGTAGGTATTCAATAATAGTTAAGTATACATCACATATCCTTCACCGTTTGTCCAATTCAATTTTGATTCTTGGATGTTTTGAGTTTTGTTCTTCTGAATCTTTAGTTGTTATTATTAATTTTAAATGTGGTGGTTAGTTTTTTGGTTTAGAAAAAAAAAAATTTTATTGTTATTTATCTTAATTAATAAGCCTCACAACTATACCACTATAATAAACCTTGCGAGAACATCATAATACCTTTTTATTTTTACTACATAATATGAAGAAATTATGCAATAATCATTTACTGGAACCAACTTATGTGTTCCTTTAGTAACACAATTTTGCCCCAAGGGAGGTAATTGTATGAAACGAAAGAAATTGAAATCAGTTTTATATTATCTCCCTAATTGTTAGAAGTTCTGAATCATTAGGTTTCACAACTCTAAATGTTGATCGCAAAAACACACTTCATCTCACTAGCTTCAATTGCACAAGACCCTCGCGATGTTTGTTTGGTTATGCTTGCCACACGAAAAACCATATGCAGTGCGTTAATGTTTCAATTTCTTAGTGTCTAAAGGTAGGAGATCCATTACCTTTTTTTTTATAAAAAATTTTAAAGATTATATAGTTATAAATAGTTATAATTTTTACTGAATATAAAAAAGAGTGTTTAACTAAATTTGTTAGATTAAGAAAAAAACCTAAAAGTTAAGAATAAAGTGTTTATTTTTACCTTTTTAAAATTATTTTTAAGAACTTAATAAGCACTATTACGCTATCATATAGAAAAATTGAAATAAGTGTTTAAAATTATTTATAAGTATAAAATAGATAATACCAAATACCTTTCAAATCTCAACTAATTCAGTTTCATGTAAATAACCATTTTATCCTAAGTTTTATTTTAGGATAACTTGTATTTTTTAAACTTAATCAAGTTTCATCCTTAAAAGTCAAAGTCCATAGGTAGTACGAGCAACACACCCATGGCTAAGAGATTTGATAACGATTCATTAGAAATAACATTCTTTTAATGAGACCTAATGTAAGTAAATATTTACATGAATAGTTAACATAAAATTCATACCTTCTATTAACTTACTTCCTAGATAGAAATATTAGATGGATTATGTATCTAACCTCATTTTATCCGTCATTGTGTTTCAAGTGAGCTTGATTCTATATTCAATTAGAAAAACCTTTTTAGTTAAGCTCACTCTTCTTCGAAAATTTTTATCTTTAATTAAGTACTTTCAATCACATAGAACATATACTCTCTAGCTTTGACGTGATAGATCATCTAATTTTTATCTACCTTTATAAAGTTTAAATCATAATTATATATCTTAAGTTAGAAGGATATATACATACTCACTATATAAATGTTGAATTATCGGGTATATATATTTTAAAAATTAATCTTTAGTACTTCACATAAAGTTGGTAACTAAAGGGTATTATTTTTTTTTAAAAAATTTATTTAGATAACTTAGTATGAAATATAAAATATATTAAATTACTTTCATTAATAATTGAGAATTAGAGTAAAATATAATATCATTTAACTAAATTTAACCATTAACAAAGATTTATTTCACAATATATATATGGGGTCTATACTTATTTTATGTAATTAGCTAGAAACGTTATATTTTTGGAATACATAATACATTTTTATATATCAGTTAATTCAAACCATCAACCTTATACTTTATAATATATATATTTATTGGGTAATATAAACTAATTTTCAAATTTATATATTAATCAATTAAAAGTATATGTAATTTAATTTCATTTCATTCGAATGAATATTCCTACACATTGATCCATATAAAGAGTTGAAGAACCGAGAAGGCTATCTCTGGTATATTTTGTGACGGCCCATAACTTTAAAAAGAAATAAATTCATCAATTGAATGTAGAAATAAAATAATAGAGTTTAGAGTTTATATTCTTTACATAGTAGATTTAAATGCTCAACAGGGTTATGAGAATGACTTTTATAAAAGATTAATAAAATCAAGAGATAAATGAAAGACATTATGCTAAGATTTTAGGATGACTTTACTAA